TCTCTCTCTCTCTCTCTCTCTCTCTCTCTCTCTCTCTCTCTCTCTCTTTTTCTTTAAAGAGTAGGGGACCAGGCGTGATTTCCCACTTTCTTAAACGCTTAAGCAGATAAGTGAAAGGGGAAAGCCCCCTGACTTCAGGGAGAAAAGCTCAGACTTCTAAGAACTACTCGAAAACAACTCGGCTTTTGGAGGAGGTGTCACTGCCCAGAAGAACAACGACCATGAGTGGCAGCTGGGTTGCAGGTTTAAGAGCTGGGGCAAGCCAGAAGAGGAGAGTTGGGGCAAGCCTAGAGGGTGGCTGGGGAGGACAGTTGATTTTCTGGGATCTTCTTGAAGCCTAGAGAAACAAATAAACAAAAATGGCTTTTGAAGGAGAGAGTAAGACAAACCGATAGTCCCCAGCTCTAACTGGTTTTGAGGCAGACGTATTTGATCTCCTTTTTACCTTAACTCAAACTCACAAAAACCTGTAAACAACACCTGATTTACGTGAATCAGGCGAAGAAAGTCGGTGACTGGCACAGTGTCTTTAATTCACACCTCAGCAGACCCCGGATTCTTCGTTCTTCTTTATCTGTTTAGTTCTATCATTTTATTGTTGAACAGGAAATTACTAAAACCTCCCAGACGTTTCAAGTTATCCCAAGAGTGCCAGGTCTTTCTTCCGGTATTCGATATGAGGACTTGTGCCGTGCATTAAGACAGCTAAGAGAAAAAGGCATTCTGGTCTTATGACAGTGAAAATGTCCACGCAGATGATGATGATGGAGATGGTGATGGTGATGATGATGATTAATAGTAACAACAACAACGTGTTTAGACCTTGGAAATAAAACCAAAAGCCATTTATATCTGGCTTGGTCTCTTTGGCGGGGGCATGATGTTGACTCACATACAAATTTGGAGGGAGCCCTAGCTTTAAAACACCCCCAAAGGTAAACCAATCACTCCCAAACCCTACTGATTTGGACATTGACCCCAAATAATTACACTGTATTTAAGCAACTTCAAAACAAGCCCCAACTAGGGGTCAGGGCCGTGTAAAAATTTACAGTTAAGAAGGCTTCGACTGAAGAGAATAGCAGAAGGAGAAGCTGATTTTGTTGTTTGGGGGTCCACAGTGAGGGTGGGGGTGGCATTTATGTGTGTGTGCTGGAAAAAGAGGTGTTTTTCTTTCTCTCCTCCATTCATTCTTTCTTTTCCTTCCACCCCAGGAGCAGTTTTTTAAAATGTAAAATTAAAGGAGGGGAGGGGACACAAAAAAAATAAACTAAAAAGGAAGCACTTCTCCTTGCATCCCATTTCCCCATTCTCCCTTTTCCCCATTCCTGAAGTCGAACCCAGGAGGCTCTTAGCATAGAATTGCAGTCTCTAGTGTGTTTATCAGAATTCTTTCCCTGTTCACTCTAAACTTCTCAGGGTCCCTTTTGCCACAACCGTTTTTGTTGTTGTTGTTGTTGTTGTTTTTAAAAAAACCGTAATGGCAGCAGGAACTAAATTCTTTTTGTGTCTGTCTTTGTGGCATTTGTGGTGCTGGTGGCTGTAGCTGCTGCTGCATTTGCCAGAAGCCAATGACCTTTTCCAAAAATCCCAGGATATGAGGGCCGTCTTTCCCTACCTTCCTAGCCCCCTACCCATTCTAACACTGCGCTGACAAACCTGTGACCCTCAGACCCACTCGCCCTGAGTCAAGTGCAGTGGCGCCCATCGCCTTGTGTCTCTGGCGCCCACCACCACCGCCACCCCAGCTCTCTCCAGAGCCTCTTCCAGTGGCAGCGGTGGGCGCTGGCGCTGGGGGCGCAAGGCTCCTGGAGGTAACGGCGGTAGCCCCGGCGGCTACAGCTGCTTCTGCTGCTTCAGCCTCTTAGACCCAGCTAGGCGAAGGGGTTGGGGGGCGGGGGAGGGGACAGGGTAGAGAGAAAGAGGAATGGAAGCTAGAAGAGAAGCTATGGGGAGGCGGGAAGGACTTGGGGCCCAGATTGCGGCGATTAGCCGACAGGGAGGTAGAGTTGGCAGAGGGGAGGGAGAGGGGGAGGGGCCGGGGAAGGGGAAAGTGTGGATTGACTGGGCCTCTGTGACCAATGAGCTAGCGCGGCTAGAGTGACCGTGCGGTTGTTAAAGGGGGCGGTGGAAGAGGAGCTGCCAGTCCAGACAGAGAGGGGAGGGAGGGAGACTAGAGAAGGGGAGGAGGAGAAGAAGAAAGGGGGTAGGGGGAAGGGAGAGAAAAAAGAGAAAGCAAAAAATAAAAAAATAAAAACCGGAGACCATAGCAGCGCCCCCCTATATAAAGCGGGGGGAGGAGAAAAAGGGAGAGGTGGTGGTGGCAGCGACAAATAAACCCCAACGCCAGGAAAAAGGGAAAAGAGATTTCAGCTTTGGACTCCCCGCACTTGCTAGCTCCAGAGAGAATACTTCATCCTCATGGGCTGCTGCTGTTGCTGTTGCTACTGCTGCCACCGCTGTTGCTGCTGCTGATCCCCGGCTCCCTGCCTGGGCACAGAGAGAGACAGAAACACGGAAAGAGAGAGAGAAAGAAATCACTTTTTTAATTGTTGTTATTGTTTTTAATCCTCCCTCTCCCCCTCTCCCTCCTCTCTCTTTCCCCCTCCCCCTTCCCTTCTTTCCCCTCCCACTGCCATCTCCATCACTGTCGCCACAACCTCCTCCTCCTCCTCCAACACAACTTAAAGAAAGACAGGAGCGTCTGATTCCTTCATCTGTGGGAATTCGTTGCTGCTGCAAGTTTACTACGTGAGATACATCCAATGCCAAGCACGAAAGAAGAAGAGGAGGGATAAAAAACAAACCACAAACCGTGAATCATAACAATACCCATAGCCGAGAGGAGAGGAGTGGGGAAGGGGGAAAGAAAATCCCAAAGCCGGCAGCTAGAGGAGCAGGAAGGGGAGTGGATTGCCCCGTCCTCCTCCAGGGCCAACCCCCCTTCCCACCCCCTGTTCCCCACCAAGATCAGGTGGAGAAGAGGAAACTAGCAGAGGGGGTAGTGCGGCGGTTTGCGCATCTTCTCTCAATCTGCTTCTCTGCTTCTGCTGTGCAGTTTGAATTTTTTTATTTGATTTAATTTTAATGTTTAATTTTTGGGGGGAGTGGTGATTTCTGTGATAGTGACACAGATCTCAGCGGCGGTGTGTGTGTGTGTGTGTGCGCGCGCGCGCGTGTGCGTGTTGGGGGTGGGGGGGCTGTGTGTGCAGGAAAAGGCACAGCGCTCGCCCCCCTGCAACCCCCCTCTCATCTCGTCTCCCCCCTCCCTCCCTCCCTCCCTCCCTCCCTTTCCCTCCCCTGGCCGCCCGCCCCCGCCACAGCTCCTTTAATACACTTTGGTTCTCCGCCTGGCTTTGGACTCTTCTTCTCCTCCTCCTCCTCCTCCTCTTCCTCCTCCTCCTCTCTCCGGCTTTGCTCCACAACCCAAGCACCTCGAAGCTGCAGCGCCGGGCTACGGGAGCAGCGGCGGCAACGGCGTGGCGGCGGAGGCTAGCAGAGTAGCTGGGCTCGAAGGAGCCCGCGGCTGCGGCGGCTGAAGCTGCCGCTGCCGCCGCTGCGGCTGCTGGAATTCACGGAGCCGCCACCGCCTGGAGCAGCCGGGAGCCTAGCGAGGAGGAGGAGCCGTCCGGGAGTTGCGCGAGCAGCCGGGGCAGACGCCAGCGCCTTCTCCGGGGATAGCAGCCCGAAGCCGAGCGGGAGCGGGAGCGGCAGCGGGAGAGGAGCGAGCTGACCATGCTGCTGGACGCGGGGCCGCAGTTCCCGGCCATCGGGGTGGGAAGCTTCGCCCGACACCACCACCACTCGGCGGCCGCAGCGGCAGCAGCCGCGGAGATGCAAGACCGCGAGCTAAGCCTGGCGGCGGCACAGAACGGCTTCGTGGACTCGGCCGCCGCGCACATGGGCGCCTTCAAGCTCAACCCCGGGGCCCACGATCTGTCCCCTGGCCAGAGCTCGGCTTTTACCTCGCAAGGGCCCGGGGGCTACCCTGGTTCTGCCGCAGCTGCAGCAGCCGCCGCAGCCCTGGGGCCCCATGCCGCCCATGTAGGCTCTTATTCGGGAGCACCCTTTAACTCCACCCGGGACTTTCTGTTCCGTAGCCGGGGTTTTGGGGACTCGGCTCCAGCCGGTGGGCAGCACGGGCTGTTCGGGCCAGGGGCTGGAAGCTTGCACCACCCGCATACGGATGCGCAAAGCCACCTTCTGTTCCCAGGGATCCATGAGCAGCACGGCCCCCACGGCTCTCAGAATGTGCTGAACGGGCAGATGCGGCTGGGGCTGCCCGGGGAGGTGTTCGGTCGATCGGACCAGTACCGCCAAGTGTCCAGCCCCCGGACTGATCCTTACTCGGCGGCCCAGCTCCACAACCAATACGGCCCCATGAATATGAACATGGGCATGAACATGGCAGCGGCCGCCGCCCACCACCACCACCACCACCACCACCCAGGTGCCTTTTTCCGCTACATGAGGCAGCAGTGCATCAAACAGGAGCTCATCTGCAAGTGGATCGACCCGGAACAGCTGAGCAATCCCAAGAAGAGTTGCAACAAAACTTTCAGCACCATGCACGAGCTAGTTACCCATGTCTCAGTGGAGCACGTCGGGGGCCCTGAGCAGAGTAACCACATCTGTTTCTGGGAGGAGTGTCCTCGGGAGGGCAAGCCCTTCAAGGCCAAATACAAACTGGTCAACCACATCCGTGTTCACACCGGAGAGAAGCCGTTTCCTTGCCCCTTTCCCGGCTGCGGGAAAGTTTTCGCCCGTTCGGAAAATCTGAAGATACATAAAAGGACCCACACAGGTAATTGTTGACTCCTCCGTTTCGAGCGTAGTAGAGAATGGGCCGAAATGTGGTGCTTCCTCTCGAAGGTTGAAGGGGAAAAGAAAAAAATATCTTATTTTATTCGAAAAGGGCCTTGATTCTCGGACCCTCTTGACTCTGTGTGTGTGTGTGTGTGTGTGTGTGTGTGTGTGTTTAGAAAGAGAAGAGAGAACTGCTTTGTTATTGTTTAAATGTTATCTGTGGCATCCATTTGGAAAAAAATGCATTTTTAAATGACAAAAACACATCCAGCCCTTTCACCGTGAGAATATTTAATTTTCCAAGACCCTCTAAAAATATTGGTGTGAATTAATGGTACACACACACGCACAAATAACGTCTACTAATTTGGTGAACATGAGCAGAACTTGGAGATTATTTTGCCAGTTTGTGTTTTCTATCTCATATGTGTGTGTGTGTGTGTGTTTTCCTGTGGCTTGTTTAAGGGTTGAAAAGTCCCTTTCTGAGACTGCTTCCTATTAAATTTAACTGGTGTGAGCTTGGGCAATAAAACATTTTTCATTTTAAAAGTGTTTTTAAAGTCATACTCGAAGTTATTTGAGGGGGTTTACGGTGGTTTTTGCAACAGTTTGTTAAAGTATGTAATGGGCAACGGAGGATTTGAGATTTCCAAAACTTGAGCTAAAAACCTGGTAAACTAAGAGCAGGGCAGCGCAGCTCCTGGTGAGGGAATCGCGTGAGAAGAGAGAGTCGCAAAATAAACACGTCTCCCAGCTTCATATATTATTCATCTATTACCAGGTCCCAGCCAAAATTGTGCCAGGCTATTTCATAATAGAAAGCCAAATATTTTAGCAACTTCCACATCAATATTTACTCTAAAACCGGACGAACGGTAGGCCTATTGTTCTCTTCTGTGTTAGGAAGGATACTAGGTGCTAGACAAGCTTTTAACAAGGTTTAAAATTTGAGAAATTTATTTGCATGAAATGCCCGCATTAAAGTCACTGTGTCTGAACGGATGTCTTTAAAAAACAATTTAGGTGCTAATGGAATTTAATGTTAAATGGTTCCCTTTCCAACTGGGGGATGTTTGAGTTATCACACCTCTAAATTACTCCAAGCATTTGGAATTCTGGCAATAGGGCGTAAAAACCGTATGAAAATGAAATGGGGGTGGGGGGGAGAGAAATTGTAAGGCGTTTAGTTTCTATCGAATCTGTGCCTCTCTGGAACGTCTAGATAGTACCTCTTCCCTAAGCTTTACTTAGGGGGGGAAAAAAGGAAAGGAAAAGCAATGGGCGTGATGGCAGAAATCATAGTAATTCTTTTTGCAGGTTGTTGGCTGAAAAATAATGAGGTAGTCACCCATCTGTGCCCTCTTCCTAAAACACACACAACAACCCTAAATTTAATAGTCTACTGACCTCAGATAGAAATAAACTAAGCCCAACAGCCTGTGTGATTTTTTTTAAATGCTGCAAATATTTTGTCATAATAGCAGCTTCTTAATGTTGAGGCAAACTTAGAAAAAGCTACAGATCAATTCATCACTGTTTAAAAAAAAGCCCTCCACAGCCTGGACCACGCCAAATAATATCATTGAGCTTCCCCCCCCCCTCCCCCAGCAAATGGACAACAGACTGGAATGAATTTTTTTTAAATAAAACATAATTGCCATGTTCCTCCTTCCTTGAAAAAGAAAAATGCAAAATCTTAAAGTGGATCATAGTCCCTACGGAAGACCACAGAACCATCCTATGCTTCTCCGCCCTCCCCGAAATAGGCATCCGCTGTGGAGTGGATTACAAATCCAAGTTATTTGTTTACTATCATCAAGCCCTGCTTGTTTATGCTTTCCAGGAGAGAAGCCGTTCCAGTGTGAATTCGAAGGCTGTGACAGACGCTTTGCCAACAGCAGCGATCGGAAGAAGCACATGCATGTCCATACTTCGGATAAGCCCTATCTTTGTAAGATGTGTGACAAATCTTACACCCATCCCAGCTCCCTGAGGAAGCACATGAAGGTACTTGGGCAAGCTTGGGCATCCTGGAGAAACGATGGTCTCGTTTTCTCTCCTTTTTATTTTTGGAATCTAGCCTATGGGTTAGAGTCTGGGAATGGGGTAGTGTTGGTGGAGAAATTCCTACACTAATTGGAAAGGGGAGGAGGGGCGGGGTTGCAGCTTCGGCCTAGGCCTCCAGTCCTCTGTAATCCGAGGAGCTTTTAGGAGCCGGGTCTTCTGAGGGACCCTGCTCCCCTGGTTCGGCCCCACAGCAGCTGCACTCACACCTAGTCCCCTCTTGTCCTCCCTCCTTCCTTTTTTCTTTCAGGTCCATGAGTCCTCTCCACAGGGCTCGGAATCTTCTCCAGCCGCCAGCTCGGGCTACGAGTCCTCCACCCCCCCCCGGGCTAGTGTCCCCTAGCGCCGAGCCCCAGAGTACCACTAATTTGTCTCCGGCTGCTGCGGCGGCTGCGGCGGCAGCGGCGGCGGCGGCGGCGGCGGCCGCTGCGGTGTCCGCGGTGCACAGGAGCAGCGGGGCTGGAGGTGGCGGCGGAGGCGGCGGCAGCGGCGGCGGGGGAGGCAGCGGGGGTGCCGGCGGCGGCGGCGGTGGAGGGGGCGGTGGCAGCAGCAGCACCGGCGGGGGCGGTGGGACCGGCGGGGGTCACAGTGGCCTCTCCTCCAACTTCAACGAATGGTACGTCTAAAGGAGGGGCCAATCTCCTTCTCCCAACCCCCCCTCCCAGTTTTCCCCAATCCAACCAGCCCTCATCCTCCACCCTTCCGCAGAGAAGGGGAAGAGAACAGTTAGTGATAGTGGATGTTTCAATCATTTTTATTCATACCAGCAAAAGGATTTAAAAAGTTAAAACAAAGGATCTAATCTCGAAGAGCAAAAACTACCCTTCCAAAGTCTCTGAAACGAAAAAAAAAAAAAACAAAAACAAAAAACAAAAAAAACAAAAAACAAAAAACAAAACAAAAAAAAAAAAACAGCGAGGACACCCAACCACAAAAAAAGCCCAAACCAAACTCTCTTGCTTTCCCCTTCTTGCTCTTCCTCCACTCCCTCTTCCCGGTCTAGTTACTCGTCTCCTGACGAACTGTGTACATAGTGGACTCCTCCTTCCTTCTCTGAGGTGGTAACGAAGTTTTAATGGATTCTTGGTGTATAGAAGTTTGTCCATTTGTAAAACTACGCTTGAGTTTCCTCCCCTCCCCCCTTCCTTGCCCAAAGTGATGGACTTTTCTTTTCTTTTTTTTTAGTTCCCTGGTTTATTTTTAAGTAATGTGGAAGAAAATGGTTTATTTTGTATTGTGGTATTGAATATTGTGTTCCTTTTTATGAGGCAACTTGATTGTAATCTTCATGCAACTATAGACTGGAAGAAAAAACCGTGCCAAAGTCTCCATTCTGTTTTTCCAACACAATTCTATACAGCACACATACACACACACACACACACTCACACAAACACACACCACCACCGCCACCAACGCTTGTGAATGTATTTTTCTGTTAGTTGGGTTTACATGTGATGTTTTAGTGCTTTTGCAAGTTCCTTGTTAGTTCCTGTACGGAAGATTGTGGGGAAAAATAAACGTTGTGCCGTTAGCTTTTTCCGTAATAACACCCTTCCTTCTGTAAATATCCATTACCATATTTATCCATTTGTAATTAAATTATGGTATTAACTTGCTACAGAGGAAACAATATTTATAAAGAATGTTTCTTAACTATAAATATGTACAATTGTGGGCATAAACTGTTTCAGAATTTTTATTTGAAGGTTTAAGTGGTTTCATCATTTCTTGTGATATGTTTTAAGAGTAATGCATACAGAAATATAATAAAAATGTGTTGAAACTGCATGAACATACTCTTCTTTTATCAAGGGTTTTCTTGAAACAAGAAAAGCATCTAGGGCATGAAAGATATATTTCTCAATGTGTAAAATGACCGAGTTCATGTGTAGGAAGATATTTGTAGACTTAGGCAACATTTCCTTAGGGAGATACTTTCTATATTACCTTCTATACATACTGTAGTGGCTGAGAGAGAACTAATATTTTGGAAACTTCTGGGACGCCTAAAGTAAAAAACCTTCAGAACCTTAATGGATTGTAAGAGAGCATTTTTCACTTATTTGGAATGAATTTAAAATATAACAAGCCCTTTTTTCTTCTTTTGCTTTTTCTCTTCTTCTCTGTGAAAAGTGAAATTTAATAACTTATTTGTAAACTTACAGCCAAGTGGTAGCACTTTTGAACTTGGCTAAATGATTATTATTTAATAGTCTGGGTTTACCAATAGGCATTCATTTTTTTCTTGATATCTTAAGCAAAAAACTGACTACATAAATCATTGGCAATAATTTTCATAGTTTTAATTAGCATAATTACCCAAATGAAGAAATAATAAATGTAAGACATTTAAATTTAATTTAGAAAATTAAACCATCAACTGTTGCTGCTGGGTGGGGGCACAACCCCCCCCCAAAAAAAACAACTGAAAATGTCCCCCATATGGAAAAAACTGTATCAAGCAAACTAAAATAAAAACAAAATTAAAAACAAATAATTGGAATGGGGGAACCTATTTGTGACATCAATAACTGGTTGGACTTTTATGGTGAGGATGCAAGACTGTAGAAATAGTTTTAAAGAGCTGTCAAACCATAAGAACTAGCAAGAAGAAAGAAGGCAATTAAAAATAGAGAAGGGCAAAGAAATGGGATGGTGAAAACATTGAGAGTCGGGAAATAATCAAGACATCTCTATCTTCTTGTACAGCTTGGAGATTTAAGATTCAGCTTAGCCCCATTTCCAGTCTTCTGTAGGTAGTAGAGACAGACTGAAGGGACTGGGCTGTGCCAACTATAGGGGCAGTAACAAGCAAAGCCTGATTTGCACAGAACCCCTAGCTCCCTGTGGGGGCTAAGCTGCTTTCCACCAAAACTTGTGCAAAGCCACTGGCTTCTTTAAATCTCAGCCAATGATCAAAGCTATTCGTGGTGATGGTACTTGCTTTGTCCAGGTCTCCAATATACACCCTTGATGGCTGGAAAAATAGGCAAATGTAGGTAACTCACCCTTGTTTGGTCAGAACTCGGTAACTGCTACCTGTGCAGTAGACAGCCTTGGACAAACATAAACCAATTGTGAGGGGGGGAGGAGAGAGGATGGAATGGGAGGAGAGTAAAAAGTCTAAGGGGGGGCTATATCTCCAGGGACTAAGTTTGAGTCCACTTCAGTGTGTGTGTGTGTGTAGTATGGTAGTATGTGTATATATATCCCAAACGATGGAATCTCTTCACTCTCAGCTGCCTTGTAGTGTTTCCCAATTCCTAAAGTAATTAGGCCACTATTAAAATCCAATTTATAACCCATAGTAATACTAAGCAAAATTATTAAAAATAATTGGCATATGTTACTAAGTCTTAGGAGACCTCGCCAGAAATTACAGCTATGGGGAGGAAAAGTCTCAGGTTTTCGCCATCCTCTCCCTCTTCTTCCCTCTTCCTCCCTCTCTGTATTGTTAGTGGTGGGGAGAAGGAAGAAGGTGATGCAATTAAGCGACATTTATTGCAGATTTGGTTTTTAAAAAAAGACTAATTTCAGATATAGGTTTTAAAACGTCAGTGAACTAAGGTTTCAAAACCACTGACATTTTAAAACCTATATCTGAAATTAGTAAAGTTGTCTGGTCCAAAGGGAGAAAAGAACTGTGACCAGACAACTTTAGTCACCTCAAGGGTCTTAAGGACATTTTCTTCCAATGAGCTGCTAGCTGTGTTGTGGTGTGTGTGTGTGTGTGTGTGTGCGCGCGCGCGCGCTCGCGCGCGCGGTTTAGAATACGTTGTGTGTTTATAAGAATACAAACCACTGATTTACTCTACTATTTTCAAGGTCTAAACTTAAAAGGAATGACTGTGTTGAGTCCCCTTCTGAACTCAGTATAGTTGGGCCCCAGCGTGGAAGTGGGAAATAAACTATGGGGAAGGGAGGGGAGGGATTCTGTGGGTAGAGGAAGGATGTGGGAGAAAGAGAATGGAGTGGAAGAAAAGGGAAGAACTCAGCCTTTGCAGTTCATCTAAACGTCTGCCCCAGAATTAGGTGGGCCAACAGTGTTGAGGGCAGCAGAAACAGGGAGAATTCTATAGGAGAGGAGACTTGGGCCTCTTTGTACAGACCACTGTTTCCCCTTGGCCAAGGCTTCTCAAGTACAAAGGCTTCCAGCTTCGCCTCAGTTTTGCTTACCGTTCTTAAACAAAACAACACAGAGAATTTAGCGTTGATCTTCGAAAGGCTATCCCTAGTCCTTCCTCCTTTCCCTCTTACGATGAAGATTCTTGGGGGTAAGGAGACTTGTTATTTCTTCTAAAAAGGATATTTTAATTTCGAGTCCTTTAAAATAACCATACACACAGGAGATGGTTCCAAACAGGAATGAACAGGATGGGCTGGGGAAGGCGTTTTGGGGGAGAACCCAACCTTGCCCCTGCGGAACTAAATTCTTACTCGCCATTATTTTAGCGCCTCAGATACAGCAAAGTGAAACAGGTCGTCCGAGGCTGGCTAACAAAGCTGCCTTTTCATTCATGGCCTGGGGGAAAGGGGAGACAACAGTGGACGAGAGTGGCTTTTCCCGCCCCCGTCCCCCCAATCCCTAGGCTGACTGGCAATGAACTTGAACTTCAATTTGACTGCGCTAGTCCACAGCCTAACATACAGCATCCTCTTTGCCTTCCTCGTTCTCCTCACCAAAATAAAACCCCACAAACCTATCTTTCCTCCTGTCTTTACTAGGAAACAGATGGAGCGCTGCTTGGGATATGCTTTATTATTATCAATACTATTACCGTTAATAAGGAGAATAAGAAGAAAAATGATAACTGAAATCTATTTCAGATATCTTTCCGGTTAACGATTTCCTCCAAACCGCTGTACTCACATTATATATACCCTTACGGGCATATAATACATGTTTGTATTTTGTGAGTGTTGAAGGGGATAAGAGGAAAGGTAGAGGGAGGGAGGGGAGGAGGGGAGGAGATGGAAGCGAAAGGAAACAGGTCAGAGGAATTGGCTGAATCTCTGCTTGGAAGCTCAGAAGCCCCTACTCCCTCTCCTTTCTATTATTTTCCGTCAATCGCCTCCCCACCCCCTACCCCCTTTTGTCTACCTTCCAGGCTGCTGTTTTCAGACTTCCCATGTTTTTATTGCCTGCGACAAACCAGGGGCAGATTCTGGGCAAGACCAGAAATGCCCCTGGCTATCGTGAGCTCGCTGCCTTTCTCACGTACTGGAGGAGTTGGGAGAAAGAGCCCTATTCTCTTTCTGCCAAGCCTACAGAACTCAGGGCTGCCAGAAGGCTGCGGAAAATGCGAAGACCTTCCGCAACAAAGCCTCTTGAACTCACGTACTCATACTCTTCCTCACCCAGGGACCCACGGGAGCGTTCAGAAACGTAGGCGCCTGCAAGCACACAGTCACAGTTGTGGAAATGGAGTCACGAGGGTGAATTTCACATAAAAGAAAGGGGAGAAAGTCTCGTTATAACTACCCCACCACCTCAAATATTTGGACCTTTTGATGTGTTGCTACCTAAACTGAGACAATCACTGGGTAAATTCCATTGAAAATCCGGTGCCCGGGTGCAGGATGGACATACAATAAATACTTGTTAATGAATTGCTTATAGTTT